AGAAACTTTTACACTTAATTTCTTTTATGTATTTCTGCACTACACACTTTACTCTTTTTAACAAAAAAATTCAAATCGCTATAACTTTCCATTGGCAAGTTATACCAAAAGCAAAATTAATGCACAACTTTTGCCCCACCCGTTATGATACGTGCTGAAAAATAGTGACAATTATTGGGAAAAAAGCGTCGAAATTTTACGAGTAAAAGTTTTTTTTCTCCTCGAAGTTGGAACGACTACTGGTAATAGCTTGCTCAGATTCAAGTTTGAAGTCGCGCTTCGATTCAGATTAGTTCTGCGAAGAATTGCATTTAAATGTCTTAGAGATATAAGCTTATAAAAGCTTTTTTTACTAACTGTTTATAACCAATATCTACTTAGATATGAAACAAACCAAATCAAAAGTAGCTAATGTGATAGAGCAACGAATGTACTATCTAACCATATGCAAACGAAAACAATCTGCTGTCCAGAGGAAAGACGGTTGACATTACAAGCTGAGGAAAAATTAGCGAAACATGCTGTACTCCCACTTACCACTAGTACAAAGCGATCTCAAATATGTTGCATAATTGTATTTTGAGGTTTCTATAAGAAACGTGAAAAATGTTCGAAGCAGACTTGGCACCGCTTGTATATAGCTTATCTGCTTCGTCTTAAATACTGACGCAAGATAGTCCAGGTCTAAAATTCCATCAGGACGGATCATAATCAAAGTTCCGCCAACTATCAATGCACCTATTATATCTTGCGCGTGAACATCGAAAGTACATCGTGCAATTTGTCCAAATGTGTCGTTTGAATTCAGCGCATCGACGCAAACCATAGCGTGTATGCAATAAGTGATATTTCGATGTACGAATTGAGCCTAATAAGAAAGGAGAGCATAATATGAACTGCATTCATTGCCGAATTCAATACAGACCGCTTTCGGTAATCCTGTTGAGCCACTTGTGAAGATTATGTAAGCAATGTTATCGGGTGTCAAAATGATACTCGACAATGTATTGATGCTCTGCACATTTTCCACATCACCGTTACATAAAACTGTGTCGATGTTACACAAAATAATGTCGTTTTGAAATTTATCTTTCGTCAAGTAATGAACAAGAACAAGGCGACTTTGAGTTTGTTGCAAAAGTGCATGTAAACGCTGTTGAGGATCTCGAGGGAATAATGGACAGTAAACACCACCCGCCATTACAATGGCCATCATACCAATCACCTAGCAAATATTTATATCTATATTATATCTATGCAACTATCTCTTTCGACACCTTACCATTGATAAACTTCTCTCGACACATTGACAAATAATTTCGCCTGGAACGATCTTGTGCTTGTTCACTAGATTCAGCGACAACACTTGAGTGTAATATAACAGTTCAGAATATGTGAGTGATTGATCGTCGAGTTCAACAGCTAACTTCTGTGGGTGTTTCATTGCTTGAAAAGCAAACTCGTGGTGAATACAACTGAGCAACGAAAAGGACACTTGTGTATTGTTCATCGATTTCATGAGCAGCTTTTCGTCCGGTAATGTCAATGACAACCCATAAATGGGCTCGCTCAGTTGATCGTTACCACTCTGTCCAAATATATGTTCTAGCATCGAGTGAAATTGTTGTGCCATATTCTCAACGTTATTCACATTGAATAAGTCAAGAGATGCATTGAGGACGAGTGATAGTTGATTCGTGTGCAGATCATGTTGAACACTAACGATGAAATCAAACTTGCTCATGACCTCATCTTCAGTGATCTTGATGGAGATGGGCACGAGAGACAATCGACCATCGCCAATCTCGATTTCATGCTGCTCATTGCTATTCGTCGACATGAATTCGAACGATACATCGAGAAATGCAGCTTTGGAAACATCGGCATGTTGAGCAAGAATGCGTTGTAGAGGAAAATATGAATATTCGAAACTATCTGTGAGCATTTCATGAACGTTAGTGGTCAGTTGATACAAAGACCAGCAAGGATCGAACTGACACCGAACCGGAATCGTGTTTTCGAACGAGCCAATCAATGTTTTGAGCTCGTCCCGATATCGATTCTCGACATTCATTCCAACACATAGATCTCTCTCTCCGTTTGTTAACTTGAACAAGAAGACATAGTAGATAGTTAGTGCTAGATGTTGACAGTTAACGTTATTGAATGATGCGAAAGTCAGAAATGCTTGCGAAAGATCTTGTCCAAAATCTAATGAAACAGATGTTCCACGGCCAGTTCGATGTTCATTGGCAAGACGATATCGATCATATGGCAACGATAATGACTGATCAAGTTTACAGTCATGAAGAGCATCCATCCAAAACATCTTGGCAGCAGCCATTGGCATTTTTTGTTCGGCGATTGAGTCTAAAAAGGAGAGACGAGGATATGTGATTTGAATAGCGCGAATGGAAAGCGTCATGCTTACAATCTATATAACGGAGAGACGCATTTTCGTCAGTGGCTAGTCGACCGCTTGAGTAAGCCTCATTGAGATCTTGAAGAAAGACGTTCATCGACGAATGATCGAATACAGCACGATGGAAATTCAGAAGAATTCTGTCGTTTTCACGGAGAAGACCATTCGAAGACATTCCTTTGAAATACATAATGTGACATCGAAATACAAGACCTTGTGAGAGATCGAAGAGCCGAGAATTGTATTTCTCATCATCTATCATGCTGTTCAGTTGTTCATCCGTTTCGAAAGTACTTTCAACGAATGCAAACAGCTCTCTGGGATTGTCTTTGAAATCAACAATTGTTTGTATGAACTCGTTGGTTTCTTCGTTGAAGATCAGTGAGGTGCGAAGTGATTCGTGTTTGAAGAGAATCAACTGAATAGCTTGACAGAGTTTTTCAGTGGATATAGCAGCACATTCTGAAGAAGGGCGATACATGAAAGGTATATTGTGAGTTGCGATGAGCGATTGACCGGCATGAGAAAGATTTTGTTGATCGAGTAGAATTCGAGTTTGTGCAAATGATGCTGGTGCTAGAATGATCGAGCAGTAGTTAATTATCACCTTAGATAATAGTGCGAAAGAAATCTGTAGAATAACATTCGACTGATTATTATGCTTTTTGTTTCCTTTTGCAGGTGTAAAGGTTCCTAGTATTGATTTGCCAGTGATTCCTATGAGGTTTTGAATATTGTCCTGAAGGGGAAGACATTGGTGGGAAAATTTGTTTAACGAAAAGGAGAGTATTGTAAGTTTTTGAACCTTCACTTGCGTATGTGTCTGTTTTGTTTCGTAATCTTTGCGCTCCTGTAAAGATATCGTTCTTATCCGTTGCATTGTACGCATTGGAAAAAATCGATTTTCTCACTGTAAGAAGGAGCGTCGAAAGTTGAAGGTTTCTTTTCTTGGTTTGCATTACTTTCGGCAATGCAGACAAAAGTAGCTATGGATGGATATATGATATGTAGTTATCTCGTGGTCATCGTCGTTGAACAGCTTCTCTATTCTTTGTGTTCAGATTGTGAGAAGAGTCTTTCTCTCTCGTCGTGTTTTTAGGTGACTTTACGACGTAGTATAACTATATACTAATGCACTGTAGATATGAAGTGTCATGAATAAATAAGTTTGCTGAATAGGATTATGAAAAAAATAGATAAGAAAAATTATTTAATCAGCATCAGCATAAAATTCGGAGTAAAATACTCTAGTTTTTACGAGAATCCCGTAAAATCTATTTTCCAGCTTTTTCGTCAGGTACAAAGATTTTACATTAGTAACTTTCTCGGAAAATAATATCAGCTGTGAAAAGTTTTGAAAGTGATGTGCTGCGTAGGGCAGTTTTCTCATTTCTCTCAATATTAAGTGCATGAAAGACTTACTTATGCTATTCAAGAGAACTTTAATTCTTTTTGACTTCAGCTAAGCTGTTTGTGTCAGACGCGCCCCCTCTTGCCAAAGCAGATTTTTACTATGAATCTTTCAATTTCCCTCTTTGCGAAGCTGACAGGAACAGTTTAATTTACTAATAGAGTCCACGTGAAAATAGACTTATTCACACATAAACGTGCATACGACAAAATTTTGATTTTGAAATCAGTCAGCCCATTCCATGGAGCATGAAAAGTTATGCCTAAAAACAAATTCTTAGTCTTTTTCAACAATCTTATAAAGAAATACTTTGTAACAAGGGGGAAATAACCGACTCCAGTACGTTGGAATCTCTTGGGAGGGGGGGGGGGCAGGGTTGATTTCACGAAAAAATGGAAGCCTAGTTGTCACCATGAAGCATTTTGTATCCTACACAGTTTTTGTGCTGAATTCAAATATGTCACTGATTTCCAATAGTTAATTGATCTGGCTAGCGGAAGATACTTCGATTTCGTAAACTACGGCCAAATGCGTTGGAAAATCACTTAATTCAGTTGTTTATAGTCGAAAACTTGAATAACCTTCCAACCTTTTTTAAAATCCATTCATAGATGAAAAGACGTCGTTTTTCACTGCCCATCTTCTGGTATAAAAAGAAAGTTGTGAGACCATTGTCTTGTTCGACTTTTACCTTAGACACACGTAATTCTCACCCAAAAATGAGTTTTTTTCGTGAAAAATCTTAGAAAGTCGATTTGTAATTAAGATTTCTTTTTCATATTATGGATTATTTTGATTCCAGCGATAAATCTGATTTAAGATGCTCCGACTGATGCTAAAAAAATCAGGGATCGAGGTACCATTTGATAAGTTTTTATAACACGCAAGAATAATATCAGAAATACTCAAGTTTTACAAAAAATGAAGCTAGGGCTGTTCAAAGGTGATACCATATCTTTTCACAGAATAGTCCAAAAAGACTAGGGATTTGTTTTTAGGCATACCTTTTCATGCTCCATGGCATGGGCTGACTGATTTCAAAATCAAATTTTTGTTGTACACACGTTTATATGTGAATAAGTCTAATTTCTCGTGGACCCTCTCTTAAGTATAAAGTTGAGAAGAGTACATATGAAAGAGTCCTTAACTGCAGTAACATCCGCTGAAAACAGTAAAGTACTACAGAAACATATTGGATGAAATCTCTAAAATGCTTTGTGTCCATAATCTTCCAGTAAATGCAAAGATTTCTGTTCAATGGGGTTCGAGTTTTTATGACTTAGAATGGATGACCAAACGCCTTGCCTTAAAATTACTCCTAGTAGACTACGTACGGTAATTAGATACATACATACACACACACACACACCGACATTAAACATACCTTCGTTGACAATATTTGAGGGTCTACATAAGACAACTTCTTCCATTTTATTAAGTTCTCTCAGCATAGCACCTGATAGTGACCATCTCGACATTGGAATTTCACTTCTCATTTCCATATTCCAACCTTCACTAAGTAACTGCCGTCCCATGCATTGAAACAGTCGGGCTATGCTAGTAACAGTAGTGTCATCAAATAAATCTCGTGAGGAAACTAAGCGACATGAAAATCCATTGTTATTCAATGTCGCACGATAGGTAAACACAAGCATAAAGTCGAATTTAGCTGTTTCAGACCATGCTTCTAATGGCATTTGTTTCAAAGTCACTCCGTCAACATCAAATTGGCTGACATCAGATGATATAGTGGCAAAGTTGAACACTGTCTCGAGAAAAGGCACATTTGATTGATTCAGATGAAAATCAGCAAGAATATGTTGCAACGGGTAGTTTGTGTGCGAAAGAATTGCCAGGCATTTTTC